AGAACCTTCGTATCTAGAAGACTTGAATTCTAGGTGAAAAGAATTTGGTTGCATTTAACTCTGAAGTTGGTTCTTATCAAAAAGGCATCAGACACGATCTGTGTGTCTACCTCACCCTTTCTTTGGAGACCATCTTCGCAGATCCGAAGGTCAGGGAAGTCGGATGACCTCTGGGCACTGAGGTTTGGTAGATTAACTGCAGCACCGACCCTTCGGTCCAGAGATGTTTCCGAGTCACAACAAATGGATGAAATCATTTGAGTCTAGAACAGCTGTTTCTGAATAGCTGAAGGAACCATTTTGCTGTATCAGCTTTGTGTAGCAGGGTTTGGACAGCTTGTCAAAAATGCTCTGGGTTACAGAGGTTTTGCTTTGGATGGCCTGTCCGGAGCTTTCTCTAGAACTGAATGATGGAAAGCTGGAATGCGACTGCTGAATCACCTGAGTGATTCTGTTTTAATATTTTCATATTAATCAATAGTAACTTTTAAAACTTGTTCTTTAAATGCGAGGATCACATCAAAACAAGAGAGACCCCTGATAAAACAACAGGATATCCACTCCCTACTCTTCATGCTTTTCGCAGGCGGGCAGATTAAGCACATGTGCTGTTGCACATTATGACCAGCGAAGGGAGGGGGTTTAGCCCGTGCCCTTCCTGGGGTGCTCCCGAGATGGTGGAGTAAACCACCAACGCTAACCCGCTAGGTGCAACACCTGAGCCTGCCTGTGGGGTTCATCTCTGGATCCACGTCTTTTATCCTCCCCTCCTTGGGCTGGATCAGGCTCGAAGCTTCTGAGAGCCCATCCAGCAGTGGATCCTCCGGCGGGGGCGGGACCTCCAGAAGCACCCGCCAGTCATCCACAAGTCATCTGTTGCTTAAAACCTTGAAACAAATAAAACACCATTAAAATACCACCACCAGGGATTGTACATTCCTTCATGGTCTAATGTTATTAAATATCCCGGACAAGCCCCCATTTATGTTACGTCCCCGACATGAGATGGTAAAATGTGAAGGATGGGGATAGCATAAAAACTGGCGGAGGAGTTTAAAATGGGTTTATTTGTAAGGTATTAAAAACACAAGTAAACAGATGGCGAGCATTATTAAGATAATGCTAAACAAAAATACTCTCAAAAAGGTTAACATTAAAAGAGCAGTTACCAACATTAAAAACACCTGGTTAAAACTTATTAAAAGTTTCACCAAAACAGAAGGTGTTTCTAAATCTACAAAGTTGATAAAAGTCCTAAAACTATTCATTGACATAAAACACCTGGTTAAAACTTATGTTAAAAGTTTTACCGAAACAGAAGGTGTTTCTAACTCTACAAAGTTGATAAAAGTCCTAAAACTATTCATTGACATAAAACACCTGGTTAAAACTTATGTTAAAAGTTTTACCGGAACAGAAGGTGTTTTAAAAACCAAAGTCAATAAAATTGCAACAAACGAAGTTAACCTTAAAAACCAACGAACACAACTAGGTGACATGCACAAAAGATCCATGTGGATCACTCAGAGTTAAAACTACCAAAGTTAAAACTTCAACTCAAAGGGGCTGAAAACAAAATGAGGCCTGGAGAACAGCAGAACCCCTGCACTACTGCCTCCCAGACTACTGAAGGCACAGCCTTTTTATCCTAGGTGTGGCTCATCAGGAGGATTCAGCTCAGCTGTGCTCCTCAGCAGCCTGGAAGAGAGGAGGAGGAGGGGCGGTGTCCAGTCAATCACCAGAGCTGGGTGATCCTGGCTGCTTTTTCCCCCTCTTCAGGCTGGCAGCTGTGACAGACATGTAAGAAGAGTTTTACCAAGAACCTCAGAAAACACGCCTTGCGTCAGATATAGGAGTTCTGATTTGTGGAACAGAAAGCATTGTGTCATGATATTAGCTTAACCTTGTCATCGTCATGTGTCTGAGTGTGTGAGCTGTCAGAGATAGTGATTGACTTATTAAATCTTAAAATATCAAAATATTTCATTTGAAATATTTTCAAACTTCAGTAATTTAAGCACAGATTAATTAAAACATTTCATTGTATTCATATAACATTTGCTAATTTCATTTCCTGATTAATTGACTCATAGGAGCTGAAAACGTTCACATTATTCAGAGAGTGGGCACTCATGTGGCGTTATCAAAGAAGGGTTTGTTTGGGAACACAGGCTGACATCGAGTTCCTCCTTACATGTCAACAAGGTTGCAGTATCCTTCTGGGCTTGTAGGAAGATAGAGTGAAAAATCCACCTTAGAGGATGGAATTAGGTCTTGCAGATGACCAGTGGCATGTAGGTCAATCCGTAGGTGAAAGTTGACCATTTGTGGACATTACACTACGTGTGGCCCAAAGACCATTCATGATGATGAAAATAAATGGAAACTCTTCACTCATCTGGACATTCGTGACCAAGGTCGCTCTTTGGAGAAAGGCCTGTAGGTGGGGCATGTTGGAAAGCACCTGGCTGCCAGGATATTATCAATGGAGTCTGGCCGGGCAAAGCTCTTATGGCAGGGGCATTCAATTCCGGTCCTGGAGGGCCGGTATCCAGCACGTTTGAACTGTTTCTCTGCTCAACACACTTGATTCAGAAGTTGAATCATCTCTGCAGAGCTCATCAGGCTTTATAGAAGGCTGTTAATCACCTGCTGATTGAAATTAGGTGTGTTGAAACTGAGTTGAAACTAAAACATGTTTATGTTTATGTTTTTGTATTTAGCAGACGCTTTTGTCCAAAGCGACTTACAAGTGATAATCGGCATGTTGCCCTTGAGGCTAACAACAACAACAACAACAACAACATTGACATCAGTCATGGAGAGGAGGGAACAAGGAGTGGACAGTAGAGAGGGGGGACGGGTGCAGGGAGGGTGCTAGTTTAGAAGATGCTCTCTGAAGAGCAGGGTCTTCAGGAGTTTCTTGAAAATTGAAAAGGAAGCTCCTACTCTGGTAGTGCTTGGAAGGTCATTCCACATTTGTGGAACAATGCATGAGAAGAGTCTGGATTGTCCTGAGCGTGGTGTAGGCACTGCTAGCCGACCATCCTGTGATGACCGGAGCGGCCGGGCCGAGACGTAAGCCTTTGCAAGAGGATTCAGGTAGATGGGAGCCGTACCGGGTGATGTGTGCTCTTTCTGGCTGATTGAAGACCAGACGTGCCACTGCGTTCTGGACCATTTGAAGAGGTCTCACAGTACAGCCTGGAAGACCTCCAACACATGCTGGTTACTGGCCCTCCAGGCCTGGAATTGAATACATCTGTCTTACAGGATACATCGATGGGGCTGAGTTTTCAAGTGACCACTACCTAGTGGTGAATTGGTTCTGATGGTGGGGAAGGATGCTCGTATGACCTGGCAGGCCCACATCTGGTTGTCTCCTGTCAGAAGGAGCTTTAACTCTCACCTCCTCCAGAAACTCATCGCAGGGGAGGAGAGGAACATTGACCAGAGCTGTGGTCATCAAGCTGAAGAAGAAATTTTATTGGGTCTTTCAGGTCTGTGGAACCCAGACGCAGCTGGTAGGTATCGGCAGTCCAAGCAGAATGTGGCTCAGGTCGTTGCTGAAACAAAAACTCAGGCATGGAAGGTTTGCATTATATATGGGTGAGACAGTATGCTCCTGACTTTGACTCGAGACATTGTGGGTCCGCATAAAGTACACATGTTGAATGTTGCCAGTGTATTATTTTGTTCATTTCTGGATTTTTTTCAGCCCCTTATGGTCACCAATGTACTTTTAAACCTGTGCTGTCATTCAGTTTCTTGCTCATTGCTCTTTTGTTCTTACTTGTCATCTTTTTTTGTCCTCTGAAGACAAACTGTGGTGGAAGGGTAAGTAAACTCTTGAACTCCAATAGTGGCTGCAAAGAGGATTTCTTAATGACTTTTAGTACTACATGCATGGCATCAGAAATAAAGAAGCATGCAGAAAAACACCATTGCATAAACTTCATGTATGTTGCTTGTGTGTTACTGTCTCATGGAGTCTGGGCTAGTATGACTGAAGGTGTCATGTTGTTGCAGAATAAGATAAACTGCTTTAAAGAAGAGACCTAGTAGCATATCTCAGACTCACTGGTAACTAAAGTCAGCCCGGCAGTCTGAGGGCATGCTGTTGTGTCATACATGGTTGGTTGTTCCCTTGTGACACTCTGATATGGTCTCATTGTCATCCTTTAACACCTGAGACATGAGTGAGCTCATCTAAAACCTCTGTTCTCTATGTCCAACAACACCCAGCAAAACGTCTTTGACTGGGTTTATATTTTAATCTTAATTCATGTTTAAATTTGTGCAGATTAGCAGAGGATTTGACTATATAAGCATGTTTTCTATGTAACATACATCTGCATTCTACATTGTTTTCGTAGTATTTTGACCACTTGGTGAAGCAAGTTTTAGTCCCGATATCTTATATGCATTTCTATTTTTCTTGGAGGGGACTTTTAACAGTTTACATAATATTTATTGTGCAGGAATTAAACTTAAACCAGGTTAGAGTTGGAGAATGAAAGGGTTCTCTCCTTTGGAAACCGAGTTAATCAACACTTAGGTGAGAAGGTAGCAGAGGACTGTGCCTGCCCTGTAACCAAAGGGTTGCAGGTTCACAGTCCGCTAAGTCTGTAGTTGTGTCCTTGGCGACGGCACTTCATCCTTCTTGCCTGCTGAGGGCGCTGATTGTGTGGCAGCCTCAATTTTGTCAGTGTGGCCTGGGGGATCTGTGGATACAGTGTAGCTCATCTTCATCAGCATGTGTATGTGCACATTGGTGATTGTCATATTATAAAGTACCTTGGGGAGGTTGTCGGTCTGTAGTACATGCTATATACCTCCATTTTTTTCTGCCTTTTATCAGGTAAAAACTGGCCTGTGAAAACTTTAAACTCCCCTGCTGATCAAGCTGTCCAATAGACTTGAATTTAATCAACATATTTAAGCATTTTGCCCTGAAGAGTCAGCATTTTAAATACTTTTGTTTCTTTGTTGGTTTCCAGACTTATACAGGCTCCATCCTGGTGGCTGTTAATCCTTATCAACTGCTGCCAATCTACTCCGCAGACCAGATCCGCCTCTACACCAACAAGAAAATTGGTGAAATGCCACCTCACATCTTCGCCATCGCTGACAACTGTTACTTTAACATGCAGAGAAACAACCGAGACCAGTGCTGCATTATCAGGTTGGAAATATCCAGATATTAAACAAGATATTGGATCAGTCAACTGATAAAAACAAAAATGTTCTTCACTTTTGTCACAACAGATCAGTTTTTCACAAACCCCTTTTTCTAACCCTAAACCTTGTTCAACAGTGGAGAGTCTGGAGCAGGAAAAACTGAAAGCACCAAACTGATCCTGCAGTTCCTGGCAGCCATCAGCGGTCAGCATTCCTGGATAGAGCAGCAGGTCTTAGAGGCCAACCCCATCCTCGAGGGTAAGAGCTTTCTACAGTTTATTGGCCCTGATGTTTTCTTTTAGTAAAATTGCTAAAGTTTTAATTTACGGTTTTGAAGAATTATACCTCTTTTGTAGAATATCAATGGGTCTTTAAACTTATTATTGGTATTTTAAAGCTTATTTATTATTTAAACCTTTTTGTTCTTCTGTGAACGTCTTGTTCAAGTTCATGCGGTAGCATTGACCTTTGCACCAAGGAATGAACTAGGATGGTAATTCAGCCCTGAAATATCTCTGTCTGCGTGGCCAGGTGAATTCACATGGGTGGGATGGGTAGTACTGTCAGAAAAACCATCTGAATAGAGTTCTCTGAGCAAGGAGAGGAATGACGTTGCTGCATTGCACATTCTCCAGAACTCACAAATGGCCAGTCCGTCCCTGTTTGCACCTACGTCACATGATCATGTAGGTCCATGTTGGTCGTCTACAGTGAAAAGCTAAAGGGGCATTTTGGTTTGTAAACGGGAACACCCCCTCCTTTTTATTCGCCCCTGAAATGTTATTTCACCTCTGATATTTCAAAGTAAGATTTTTTCTCCACTCATCTATCTGTTCCCAGTCCTTTTATTCAATTCAATTCAATTCAAAGATACTTTATTAATCCCAGAGGGAAAATAGAGTTTCAGTACACACAATTCTGAGATCAGACATACAGACATAGACACATGACAAGAATTGGTGACTGTGGTCATTCACAACCCGAGTCGCGCTACCTTAATAGAGGTCAGAGGGTTTATATGAGGATTGGGTCAGGTGGAAGAAAAAAGACACTTCAGAGTTACCCTCCACAGGGAGGGCAGCTTTGCTCTGCAAAAAACTCCTCAGACAGAAATGCAACAGACTTCCGACATTACACAACATAAGTGTCCACTAGGTGGGGTGATAGGGTTGGGGACTCTCCTCACATCAGTGCGTGCAGCCACGATAAGCAGCGCTCGTCACCTCCGTTTGGACAGGGGAGGGAGGTCGTTGGGTTTAGAGAGCACAGTGACTCCTGGAACGATTCAGCGGCCTTCACAGCTTGCAGTCCCGCCCAAGCCAGGATAGGGAGACAGAGTTGCCATGGCGACGGCATCATTCCATATTTCTTCTGCGGGGGGGGGGGGGGGGGGGGGGGTTCAGCCTCACAGGCTCAACGGCACCAGATTCGGATAAGAAATTTTTTTGGGGGCCAGACAGAGATAATTTCCTCTCTGTCTTAGAGTTACGCTGGCCCTCAACCTCTCAAAAACCAATAATGGCGTAGATTAATCTATCCCAATTTGTGCTGATTTGTCCACTCGCTCCTTGATCGCATCCATCTTTTGTGCCAACACATGAATCTCAGCCAAAGTTCCAAGCTTATGACTCATCTCAACAATTATGAGTCTGTGAATTCACAGCGCGGTGCAAACCATCTCTGAGCTCTGGGAGTGAGCTAATATTCCTCGAAAGCTCGTTACTTTTCCGGTAAGCCAGGTATCCGCTCAGGCCAAAGAGCAGGAAACCTGACACCAACACCACGAATGTCCACACGTCTTCAGAATCCTCTACAGACAGCTGAGAGAGGCAGATCAGGTTCCACTGTTTCCAGGAGTCCATGATATGACCAGCTGGCTCTGTCCCAGAGGGGCAGCTGGGAGCCCCTTCTCCTGTTCTCATCGTTGAAAAATGTTGTCAATCGCGTTGAGAGACCAACCGACCAGGTCCATTTTTAATAATTTCCAGTTTCCAGAAAAAATGTAGAAGCACCGTACACCCAAAGACAGACAAAGAGCCTTGGGTTAAGATAGGGAGGAGAGGGGGAAAACAGCATCTGTACTCTCCAAGAGCCGGAAGAAGATGTTTACATCTTAGGTGTGTTCTTGCTGTGCGTTACTTCTAATTCCATGTTGTCGTTCTTTTTTAAAACACAGAAACAGTTTTGTTACCTGTTATTGACGCTACAGTTTTGCCTATGGCTGCCGGCTTCTTCAGGCTGACGTGTCACTTCCTTCTCCGTTTATCTGCGGGCAGCAGAGGACGTCAACGGGCAGTCGCCCTCTACTACTGCGGGCAGTAGAGGGCGACAACGTCCTCTACTGCCCGCAGTAGAGGACGTTGTCGCCCTCTACTGCCCGCAGATAAACGGAGAAGGAAGTGACACGTCAGCCTGAAGAAGCCGGCAGCCGTCGGCGAAACTGTAGCGTCAATAACAGGTAACAAAACTGTTTCTGTGTTTTAAAAAAGAACGACAACATTGAATTAGAAGATGTTTACAGTTATTGATCATCTGTGCTCGGCCTGCTCTTTCATTTTGTGTTACCGGTTTGATGTGAGTGCGCTCCAAGCTCTCCGAACCTGAACTTGCGTTTAAGTCCCACCCCCTGCTTTATCTGCAGTTTATGCAAATATTAAACTCGAAATGGGAGGCTGTGAATAAGGTGGGACACAGACTTTTCTCCTCTATTTTGGGCTGTCTCATGAGAAATGCCCCCAAAGCGCCACAGCTAGACAGTGGCATTTCAAAATAAAGTAGAATTTAAACGTTTCTTGATAATTAAATTATTTTCAAACTTTGATTATGGCTAGTATAAGTGCACAAATATAGGCTATATATTTCATGCCTGTTTTACAATAGTGTACAGGTTACGATTTGTTAGGGGTGGACTTTTATGTTGAAGGGGGTGTTCTTGCCTGGTTGTGTGGAGAGTTTTGGTTCGGTTGTTTAGAAAGAGAAAACGAGCTAGTTTGAATGGAGATTTTTACTTTGTTTTACCTGGAGTTTAGGTGTGGGCTGCAGCCAACAGCAACCCGGAATAAAGATCCGAAACATAAAGAACAAGTAGGAGTGTCAGGGGCTTGCACAAACCAGCCAGAGAAGCACTGCTGATTCGACTTAAATAGTGGCTGATCAGACATCTCTAGAAACAAGAAGGAAACAAGTAACATACAATTAACACACGCTCACATAACTAACCAGGCTAATCGGTTCAGGTAACTCAAATAACTAAATCATTATTACAACCTCCCTGTCCATAACAGAAAATATCTACATAAAGCGAAACATAAACATGAGTCTCCCCTCCCCTGGAAGTAGGTAGATCCCAGAATTAACACATACATTCATAAACATTAGAAGACTGATTGTGTAAACATCAGTTGTGGGCTGCATGGTGGCGCAGTGGTTAGCACTGTTGCCTCGCAGCACGAAGGTTGCAGGTTCGAAACTCGGCTGCGGCCTTTCTGCGTGGAGTTGCGTGTTCTCCCCATGCATGCGTGGGTTTCCTCCGGGTACTCCGGTTTCCCCCACACATCACAACATGCCCTATAGGTTATAAATTGTAAGTCGCTTTGGATAAAAGCGTCTGCCTAATAAATAAACACAAACATAAACATCAACCAGTCATACTAGACAGAACACAGAAAACAAACATTACCAGAAGACCATACCCCTGAGCATGGACGTCACTAGGATTGAGATATAGGGGGGGGGGCTTAGCCCCAGGAGCTTGACCTTGAACATTTTTTGTCACACCCTGCAAAAACGTTTCCTTTCCTACCTTTGTGCATTTTCTCTCTTCTTTTTATAAAAAATAACACTTAATCAGTTCATTAGTGGGGTTTATGTTGAAGAAAGATTTTATGTAAGTCCATTAAAAATTAGATATGTTATATTTCCAAATAAAGCTATTCATTTCAGTCTACTGCACTTAACAGGGGGAAATGTTGCAGTCACTTATTTAATTTGTTTAATTAAATTAATTTAATTATAAATGTTACTGAAATGTGACAATAAAGAACAAATGAATAATTATCAAACTTTTATTCTGCCAAATGAGTGTGCAGTTGACAGTTTTAATATATGAATAACACTGCTATGATATGGAATAAAGGAGTATGTAATTAATAATTACAAGACAAAATAACAGTATATATAAAAAATATCCAGCAAGTAGTAGAACTTATAATACAAAAAGTCAACTATACAGATACAACTTGACATAAGGTTGCAGGTCAGATGATAATTATAGTTATTTTTTTTTCTCAAGTTCTCTTACCTGTTCACTCCTAAACAGAAAACTGTTCAGTTTTGCTTGGGAACTTTGTGCTCAGGTAAATGCTCATAACGGTGCGCTCGCCCCTGTTTTCGCTGTAGATCACTGACCTTGACTATGCAGATCTCCTCAGCATCAACCACCTGGTCTCTCTCCTGCTCCTCACTCACTCTCTTAAAAAATCTTCGTATATCCATCTAGCCAACACATTGAAAAACATTTTCAATTTCTAATGCCAAGACAAATGCTACTATACCATTCAGTTTTCACTCACAATAACTGAAACAGCCATAGGTGGATAGATGGTACAGAATATGGACAACTGTTTGTCAGGCTGATCAGACTGGATGAAGGAGACGAACAAGGTGAGACGTTTAACAGTTTTATTATTTCTCTGGTCGTATCTCAGTGAGGAAGAAACGATGACTGAGATGAGAAGCCGGTCACGGCGTCTTCCATATATAGCCTTGCTTGGCTGTGACGTGGAGGGAATCCCCGCGAGGAGCACGCTGGGAGCTCCCCACAAGGGGCATGTCGGGAGTTGTGGTCCGAAGGTCAGCCGGGAGATACCTGAGTCCTGACAGGACCCCCCGGTCCAGGGACGGCTCCAGAAGTCCCAGCGCGACCCCGGCGGACCCAGAAGTCAGAGATCAGGGAAGGGTCCAGGATGGACCGAGCCGGCTCCCAGGAGCGTTCCTCGGGGCCATAGTCCTTCCAGTCCACCAGGTACTGCCAGCCCCGACCCCTGCGGCGAGCGTCCAGGATGCGCCTGACGGTGTAGATAGGCTCACCGTCGAGGAAGCGGGCAGGAGGCGGCGCCGGAGCCGGAGGCGGGAGAAGGGAGGACTCTACGTAGTGCTTGAGCCGGGAGGTATGGAAGGTGGGATGGATGCGGAGAGTAGCCGGCAGCCGCAACCGGTACGTGACCGGGTTGATGACCCTTTGGATGGGGTATGGGCCG